AGCCAGCTCAACAGGCAGCCCAATGCCGACATCCTGGAGCACCAGCGGAAGAGGCAGCTGGAGGTGAAGTGTGCCGAGCTGCAGGACATGATGGAGGAGCAAGGGTAAATATGGTTATTGAACTCAAAATGAATCTCTTTATCTAAGCTGCTGTGTGTTTGAAGGTCTCTGCTTCTTGAATCGTGAGGATTTCCAGCTTATTCTTAACTGAGTTTTTTTTTCTCTCTCTCTCTCACAAAAATATTGAACCGTGTCTTTAGAAATATGTAATCAGTCCACCCAGATTGCTTCAGTGGGAGGGAGAAAGTACTGGTAGTGCAGCGTGCTGTTACACCGACTTCTGCATATTGCTAAATCTTCTTTGTGTGAACGCTCAGGTATTCTGCTGAGGAGATCGAGGAGAAGGTGAACAGTTTCCGCATGATGCTGCAGGAGAAAGAGGAGCCTGCACCCGCCTCCACCGAGAGACCAACGTAAGCATTTATGTCCTCATTAATAACAAAAGAAATCACAAATTGATTCCTTGAAGCAACTTTGGTTGCCTGTTTTCTTTTATTGGTTTCAAGAAACATATTTTTCTATAAACCAGCACCCGGCCTCGTACTTGCTGACCTCATATACAGTTTGCACGGAGGATAATCACACCTGTCAGTTTATTTCTTTTGGTTCTTTACTTACTGTGAGCTCATTTGACAGCAAGAGGGTTGCAGCGGAAGGAATAAGGCTAAAATTGTCGTCTTGTGTCCATTAATTTAAAAGAACGTCCAGTTAATTACATTTGTAAAATCCTGCCATGTCTTAATATTAGAGCTACAGTGTGATGTTCAGGGGCACCAGCTCATTATTTGCAGAATTTACAGGAAGCTTGGTCTGCACGTGCTACCCAGGTGCCTAAACTCTGGAAAACAGCATGACAGAAACTTCTAATCCTTCAGAGCGTGTTGTTGGGTTTTTACTGTTTCTTCTCAGGGTGACAGAGACGCATGCCCTCGCTGCAGCCAACCAGCAGAAGAATGACCGCCTTCGCGCTGCTTTTGGCATCGCCAGCGATTACGTGGACGGATCGTCCTTCCACGCTGACCGCAAGGAGAAAGAGAAGGAAAAGAGGGAGCAGGAACGACTGGAGAGGGAGAGGCAACAGCAACAGAAATACACGTGAGGAGGACATAAAAACACCTTCAGAGCCTGAGTGCACATCAAATTAATTATTAATTAATGTTTTGATTATTATTTAGAGTCTGGTTTGTTTGTTTGTTTTCTCTCTCAGGTTGCTGGAAGATTCAGATGAATCAGATTCTCCTCCAAAGAAGCGCAGTCGCAAGAAGAAAAAGAAAAACAAGAGCAGAGACAGGTGAGACGATAAATGAGGGGAAAGCAGAAAAGGTTTTGGCTGCTGAG